TCTCAAATTAATAACTGGCGCTCCGCGATTACCCGGTGATGAGATTAACGAGGTCAAAAAAAAGCTAAATTCTTTTGTTTTGTTTTGTTCGTTTTTCCAACCGAACAGAACCACTCGCAATATGGATAATAGTTTTTGGAGCGATTATGGCGGCTATCTGTGTACTCGGATTTGCCACGGCAACCTGCGACCACTGCGTGCTGCTAGTCATAGTAAGTCTCTTATTTTGGGTTTTCTAACGATACAGTTGTGTGATTTGGGCAACTTGTCAACTGATTACCGAACCACTGTGAACATACAAAATCCTGCTGCTTTACAGAGGTACATTGGCGCAATCGCCANAATCCTCCCAAAACAAAAATTGTCCTTCTGGACAAACTCTATGATCAGATTCCTGCTGTGTGCCAGGAGATCCCATTACGAATGGATCTTTTCCTAATTCTATGGTGCGGTTTCCTTAAGAAGATCTCAATTCAAATGAAACTCCAACCCGGACACTGAAGCAACGGCCTAGACTGAGCTTGCAACTGTAGGCAGGCAATCAGTAAAATCAGAGCTTAGTGAAATCTCAGGAGAATGCACAGTTCGGTGAACGAAAGGCGACTCCCTTGAAGCGTTTTTTTTAATGAAAACGATCCCATATACCCAACCACAACGAAGAAAAGCGACAGGTAAATGTTGGTGGATAAAACCCCTAGTTAGTTTAATTTCGAAAGCTGAAGTAACTTGTTGAGAGTTATTTTCTGCACTCATGATATCTTTTACACACGTATATTTTTGTAATCAACCCAAATTGGTAACTTCCCTTTCCCCTAACTCCTTCAGAAGTACATATAAAGATAATATACCTTCAAACACTCATTATTGATTGCGACGGTTAACCTTATGGCCTTCACCACTGAACTACCATTTCCGAATTAACCAAATTAGTAATGTTGTGCTTCTTCGAATCTATAAAAGTCTGCTAAGCTCCCCACCGAATATTTTATAATTTCTCTTTCAATTTTAGTACGTGATTTTCCTGACCTTAGCTCTCCTCGCTCATCTGAGCTTGATGGCTACCTTTATCATTCACCCCACCCCCCGAAAATGGGATTCAATTGAGAAATCCATTCTTTCTGACGTCAAAATGCAAATATGAATACATCTCAACATCCACCTCTTTTGCTGTGGATCCAGCTATCAAGGAGCCTGGAGTTGTCCGGGGGCTTCGAAAGCGTAGACTGTTTGTGCTCTTATGGTTGAACTTTCCCACGAAAACTTAAATGGTATCGAATAGGGCTCAGATAAGACTTGGTTACACCTAGGGTGCAAGGTACTCGTTAACTGAGTGTGTACTCCTGACACCGTCCTATCTTTTGGTTCGTCGAATATTCAGTGCATCAAAGTGGGCTGCCTTGAATCTAAATCTTTGGCACTGCCAAATGACCGAGCTGAAAGGAGGAAAAGCCGATGGTAGACCGGCGATGAGTACTCATCAATCGTGTTAGGAGTACCGAATCTTTGAGGGTGTTTTCCCCTTGAGGAAATGCGTGTTTTGTACCACATCAGTCTTCCGAATTCATCAAACAGTGAACTACCCGCCAGCACAAAAACACGCTCTGACTGAGCACATTTTGACCACAATGTTAAAAACTGTAAATTCTTCACATGTAGTTTCGCTAGGGATAGAGTGTTCCCCTTGCAGCCGGTGAACTCTCACCCGTGGCTTTCCCAAAATTTACGCCTGGAACATTTTTCCAGCTAGCAACAAATTTTTACATCTCGCTAAGATCTGAATTCATTTTTGTGTAAGCAAGATATTCCTCCATTTATCCAACTAACCCCAAATAATCCTAGAATGTGCTCTACGCGCATTCGTGCAAACGATCTGGGTGATATTATCAGATGAACTTGGATGAAATTGATGAACGTGGAGAACGTTATATGTGTTGAGCGTGTCCTCATCCATCCAGTGATATTAGATCACTTGAAAGTTTCATTCATTTGAAATAACTCGCAGCTGATGCGTCCACTGAAAGTTGACAATATCAGCGATGAGCCGTGTGTTGCGGTGTGGACTCTGTGCATCACCGACATGAGGAGGTATCAGAACTGATAATTCCATGAGTTTAGCGAAACGTAAACTTTCGTGCTGATAATTTCTTGGAACAAACGATGAGGACCGACGTCAGCAACGAAAGTCGTGTAATTCGGAAGTCTCTTCTTCACTATGACAAATATGGCCACACGAAGTATACGAAAAACACAACATCTGATATGGTCTAGCAAGGATGTACACGGTCGATACTGGAAACATGGTGCGCCTTTTTTTATAATTGCGTGAAATGTGGGGCAAACAAAAATATGGCTTGGTGAGGGGTTATACGGGAGCGTAGAACAAGCAGAAATATTTTTTTCAGAATATAAGCCTGGGGAATAGCTGTACTCTGGATATTGGGTTAGTAAGGTCGTTGGAAATGAGCCTCTCTTCATCATATATATAATTCGCTGCGGTGCCCATATTTTTGCGCCTCCACTTAAGCAGGCTATTCGGTATTACGATTTATTATTTTATCGATCTATTGAGGGTCTTTCGCACTAAACGGTACAACTGAATAGCAATTTACTGAAAAGCAGTTGTTTTTTTACGTCCAAAGGCCATCCAGTTTCACAATGATATCAAACTAAAGTAGAATTCAGATCGATTGAGCGTAGGCGTTACTCAACTTTCTCTGCCTAATGAATGATTTAATGTAATGATAAGTCTCTTTACACCATCAAACTAACCAAGTGGTCCTCATGATAGCTGCTCTGTGTTATTGTACATCTTTTCATGATCCCACACAACGACTGTAATTTGTCATTGTGTGTGGCTGCCTAAAGCAAACTGATTTTCCTTAATGATAAGTCTCTTTACACCATCAAACTAACCAAGTGGTCCTCATGATAGCTGCTCTGTGTTATTGTACATCTTTTCAGTTGCTGATCCCACAAAACATTGCTAAATATTTTCTCCTGGTTGTTTTTCGGACACTGTCCGTGACAACTCGCTCCATCGTACAAAAAAGGCTTTTACGTCCACCGACGCCTCTATGGCACAAATCATATTTTGCGACTGAAATACTATAGAGGTACGGTCAGACAATTGTGAGTTCTTAAGCAGATTAAAGGGCACTTTTTCGAGCAATATTACGCCAAAATTGGACATAGTTATGTCACCGATAAAGGTTTATAGCTAAACCAAAATAAAACTAAGAAAAATGTTTACCGGTCATCTAGAATCCTCTCGGAGACTGACTAAACAATCCACGAGAAGGCTAAAACATTAAATAAGGCACAGGTTGCTAACTAAACGGTTCCGGTATCTGTCCTCTGTCCACATATCTATAAATATTCGAGAAATTTGCCCTCTCTCGCATAGCTTCTGTCAGGAGCGTGACGAAACATATCGGCCCGAGAATTACGGAATTTAATTGGCCACAATAAGGAAGGTTAACCAGGAGTTGATGACCAGTGTGATGTCTAGAAATTAGGCATTTTTCTATAATCGGTATAGCCGGTTGACGAGGGCGTTACGCCAAATTACGCTAACTTCTGATTTATCGTAAAAAATTTCGATTTGTTAGACTCTGATTTCTACGGCAAATCCTTCCTTCACTCTACCCCCACAAACCCCCAACTAGACCAAACATTTTCACCTCTCGTCCACCCTCTGAAGTCATCTGATTGGAAGCTCTACATCGTGGGTAGCTAGTATCATTTTACCGCAGCTCTGCGACTGAGATTTAATAATGGGGATACGGAATTGTGGATTTACACGATGTATGGAACATTTATAAGCCTTGGTACATTTTCTTACTGAGTGGAAATGTTCGCTGAAATTAGCAGCTCAATTCTGTATAAAATAAAAATCAAATTTTCAGTCATTTTGATGGATTTTTTGTTACCGATCTACTGAAACTCCAGATCACCACAAAGTGACAATTTGTCATTGGTAGGGTCATCCATTATCACTCAGCTATGATAGTCGCACTCTCTGTTGATTCCGTGAATTCACTTTGCCAAAAGTAAGTGTTGCGCGCGGTCAAGTTATATTTAGAAGCACATTTGCTACCTATCAAAGAACAATTAGTTCAAGTCACCAATACGATAACTTGAGCTAGTCAGCGCGGGGGTGCTGTAGTTTTGTGTTCAGCACAAGGTGCATGTGTGAGGAGAGGTGAGTTGGACCATGGTAAGTACAACACACGAACAAAGCGTTTTTGCCGACAAAGGATCAGGTCGCAATGTCGTATGGCGATAGGTTCCTCGACAAGTTTATTACAAAGCATTTAAACAGGGAGGAAGCAAACATCATCACAGCCGCAGCTGGAAGGAAACCAGTTTACATTAGCCTCCCGTTCAAGGGAGATATACTGGCCGATCTACTTAACAGAAGACTTTTCACCAGTCTGAACAAAGTTTTCCCGGCGGCAACACTCCGAACCTGGTTCACCGGCAATCGTTTATGCCCCCTTAATCTCAAAGATAGAGTGCCTGTTTATGCCCTAAATATATTATTTTACTCGTTCTCTTGCTGCTGGGTAGCGGAATACATCGGACGCACGACTAGGCAACTCGGCTAAAGAAAGAATGAAGGAACACGATCCACTCTGGCTAGCTTCTGGAACTAGGAGGACGATAACCAGCTCTGTGGTACACCATCTAGCTGACACTGCACACAACGTGATACCCAGCCAAAGTTTCTGCGTTGTTTACAAGGCGCCGGCTAACCAACCCANTAGCTCAAGTCATCCTATTGGTGACCTGAACTAATTGTTCTTTGATAGGTAGCCAATGTCGTCTCACTCGATTTCCTGTCCATTTACACCATACTCATTCAAATATGTTAAATACTTCTCTCTTAACCCTTGCCACTGTATGACTTGAAAAGACCTTGCCGAAAATATGTTCGTCAACCCACATGTGTTCTTATTATACATGGGAATTTTCGAAAACACATTGGCATTTGAGAGTAAATGTTAAGGTTTATTCCGTGTCTATCTTCAAAAGCCACACAATGTCTACTTATCTCCAACTTTCAATTCCAGGTGTACGATGGCATTGCGGTCCGTATGAAGGAAGAGTTTGCTTCTTACGAGTCCCACAAAGCTAACAACAGTGGAAGCATTGTGAGCGGGTTTTTAATGACAGCTGTAAGTTGGAAACGCCCATTGTTCGGTTTGTGGTTTGACTCTGTAACACATGAGAAGATATCTGGGAACGTGGGAAGTTATTTCATTGTGGAGACACCCACAATTAATCTGATTCGACCGGAAGGACACACGTCTCTGCAGGGTAATGTGAAAGACGTTCCGTCCATGACACAATCCGGGAAGTCACTGAGTTTTTGTTTGAGGCGTTGCGCAAACCTAGCATAACGCAGTTTCTGTTTCGCAGAAGTACAAATGTAGGTGCTCCCACTGTGCGCTGGCTCGTAGAGGCTCGCTTTGCATGTCAGATACCGGAAACCGTAAATGACCTCTGAGAACAGAGAAAACCGATTCTGGTGCTTCCCCGCTTTGGTGCCCGAACAAACGGAGGTCCAGCCAAAGGAAAATGGTGTGAATGCGTGGTAACATATATTGTCTTAGTGAGAATTAAACTCACCGCTAATCAGTCGTTCCTAATGCGTGGTAACATATATTGTCTTAGTGAAAACTAAACTCACCGGTCAGATATTATAAAGGTCAACTACTAGCCAGGAGTTCATGGGTCCCAACCTCCGTGGAGATTCCTGAGCAGAGTACCTCAGCAAAAAGGAGATATCTCTATTGTCTATACGGATTCAAATACATTCAATAACAGATGCTCCTACGAAACTACGCCTTGATTGAAAGGTTAGGCGTAGCGGTAGTGCAGAAGAGAACTTATATTCTAGTGTACTATTTAACTAAAAAGGCAATGGATTTGTTGGTAAAACACCCATATGATGTAGCAGTAAAAAAAGTGAAATCATGTTATTCTAGTGCCACGTTAGGAATTTAGCCAGGTGAGCCAAAATAACTGAACGAAACGTTGCGCACCAGTAAGAATGCACTACAGAGCGCGAAAAGGTTTGCGGTCGCATGCACAAAACACCCGGAATTTCGAGGAATTGCGTCCTGAGTATCACATCGAGCAGAGAGTGTCACACCGCAATTTGCACTCATTCCCTCCGGTAAATTAGAACCCAAACTGGTGCTGAGAGACGAGTGATCCATCCATGAGAAACATTCTTTTTTAGTTTTAAAAAATGGAAAAAATGGATTGCTCAGTTGATTATTGGTGTCTACGAAAAAATTAAGCTTCGCTGATACTTCAATTTTTATGGTGCGCTCACAATGATCGGGGCTACCTTTATTGTCGTATTTTTCGATCTTTGTGACGGCTAAACAGCACAGCCAAGTAGTTATTTTATCAGTTGCTTTAGACAACGTCGTTCAACAAGCTCATTTTTTATATTATTAACAAAAAAATTTCTAACTATTAATTCCCTCCTTTGGTATTCAAAAGTGAATTAGTAAAGCCAAACCCCATTACTGTTGCATAACATTTACTAGTCTTAATGCCAAAAATAATTGTGAATGCGGCTCCTGCAGATAAATTTAGATTTTTGCTTGCCGTGTTTAATCATTACAAACTGAGTATCTACCCGCTGTCTGCTAGAATATTTTTACCAGTGTAATAGTTCCGGGTCTTATTTCCTTCCTCCCATAATGTTCACAAATGACTGTTTCGAAGATCCCGTTTGGTTCAAAGCATCTATTGATCCCGTTGTGGATCTGCCTTTAGTAAATGTAATAAGATATTTGGAGCCATGCTGTAACGACCCAGCAAATTTTCACGCGTCATGTACATAACAATGTCCTTAGTTTTCAGTGCGAACCCCAAACCTGACCAGCTTTCAGTCCATTCCTAATTCCACCGGCTGATGAGCTACATTCACGACCAGTCTCAAGCTCAATTGCTTTTTTAGCAACCAAAAATGCTAGTTCAAGTGAAATTAGGCTGTTTACTTTGAAAATCCTTAACACGAAACGATATGTTATAAACTTGATAGTTCACTCCAGCCCATACTAATGATTCTACAATCGATGTGAAAAAAATTCACTTATTTCTTAGAAGCAATTTTGTTTCCTGCTCATACTTCCGTACTTCTTACTGTGTACTTCTTTTACGCACACGACTTTTGTATGTCTCCAACAACCAGCTCCACTGCTGTGGATTCAAAAACGGAGAGGAATACTTGAATTCTACAGCCTTCATTCGGAATTCAAGATATCTTGGATATAAGCTCAAGTGTAAGTTGATTTAAAGAAACCATTTCAACTCAGTTTTTTCTCTGGTTCACCGTACCGAAAGTAAATCCATGTGGATCAATCGCAGTAATTCTGTTTTCACTTTATCATGCAATTCGCCGCTTTGAATCTTTCTTTAAGGCAGAGTTTTCACTCAGAAAAAGATTCCTTCAGTAGCTAAATGCTCAAAGAACTCTAATAGATGAACTATAGATCGCACACATTCGCATCTTTTCTATGTCAACTTCTGGCTACTCACTGATGAAGAAAAACAAATTTGAAAGAAAGTGATGGAATTACTGATCGCAGTGGATGAACCCCCGCAAGGGCTAATTTATCGAAATGAGGCGAATCAGGTTGATGTGGTCAGATTTCAACGGAATATTTGACTGATCAGAATGAGGGAGTCACAACGGTGTGGACTGAAACTGAGTTCAGCTATTGGTTGGAATTTGTAAGCTCCATTAGCACAACGAATACAGACTGACATGCAGCCTAATTCTGTATGTAGTGCCAAATCCTTTGAACTTGTCCAGTTTGAACAAACAGAACATTGTGGCTTTTCACCTATGCGTGTAAATTATTGAAATTTTGGGGGATTTCTGATGGTTGTACAGCAGCAAAGCATTAGTGTTGAACTGTGATTTCGTTCTGTCAATGAAGATGATGAGGAATGTATGCATCTCTTTCATGTTCTGAGTCGTGCACACTCCATTGCGTTTGTGCCCTTCTCGATGTAGGCTTCATGTACACAGGAGATTTCATAACCCCTATTCCTAAGGTGTGTGAGGTATACCATATGATCGCAAATGGTGTTGTATTTTGAGTGCTGATAGAACCACACAGATTCGCTCTGCGCGTTTGGAGATTTAAGTAGCTAATCTCAGGGTTCAGTCATCTCGGTTTGTCGTGTTTGCGACCACTGAGTGCATTCCCAATGGGAAATAATGAACGGGCTTTTTTCAGTGAAACATGCCTTGCCATTGTCAACAGCTTTGAGGGTCTCATGAGAACATTTTCTCTATATCGGCTTAAAGGTGAGATAACACCAATTTGGTTCATATTTAAAAACATGACTTGAGAATTAATTCAGTTGTCACTCAGGATGAGTCGATTACCGTGAAACGTGAGTTGTTGGTTCCGAACAATAAGTGTTCAATATTGTGAGGGAATGTTGAAGACTATCAGGCTGGCAGACAAAGTTGACGTGCTCCAAATTATCTTCAGAGAATGCGGAAAGCTACGTAAAATTTTTATTACAAGATCAAAAACGCGTCGTCTGAACAACGCCACCCAATAAAGTGACGAAAATGCGAACGCAGTCATTACCTCGAGAAATACACTCATTTGCGAATCAACTTGGTTTTCACGAGAGACTTAACTGAATCTCTCGTTTATGATATTGTACAACTGAATGTGTTGCACACAGGCCGCTTCATGATACAGTTGGCCCGATATTCGACATCTTACAGTATATTTTCATAAAGGAAACTGCTCACAAGGTTGCTGAAACCTCATCGAAACCCACGACCGGTTTCGCCCTTCTTAGGGCTCATCAGGTAGGCGCAGTCTCCGAGTTTCCGTCAAACTTATGTTCTAATTTAACCCGAATCGGGTTGTTTTTGAGAAGTACTTTCATTCGCAAATCAATTTGGTTTTCACGAGAGACTCAACTGAATCTCTCGTTTATGATAATCTACAAGTGCGCCTACCTGATGAGCCCCATGAAGAGCGAAACCGGTCGTAGGCTGTCGAAAAGTTTTTGGCAACCTTGTGAGTAGGTTCCTTTATGAAAATACACGGTATCCATTACCTGTTTTTCAGTGTTCGGCCAGACTACCTTCTGTTGCTAGTGGAACACCAGAGCCTACCGCCACTCCCCTTTTTGCTCGTATAGGACGTGTTTGACTGAAACCAAAGGTAGGCAAAGCCCGACAGCGTTTCGATACGGGTGGTGAAGATGAATCTGTTTCAAACGACTGGTGTAAACTTCCAAAGATTTTATTTCATTCAGGCTCGTGGTAGGGTTTTCTCAATTGTTGTGTGATTCCGAAGTCACTTTGAGACTTTGGAAAAAGTGAAACAAGAAAACCAATTTTTCTTACCTCATTCTGAATTATCACGCAATTTTACCAGACATTTTATTGAGGGACACAAAAATGAAGTTTTGCTACATTTCAGTGATCATCAGTGCATCAAACCACATATTGGCCAACTTAGGGAAACGACCACTTATCAGCAATTCACCCAGTAAAGCCTCGTGATCTAACGGATGAGTACGGGTTGTTCAAAGATATCACTCAAATTGCGCTAGGATTTTTGCGGAATTCACATTTCAGTCTTATTTCAAAACCAACTGGGTTAGAATATCTATTATGTTCAATACGACACGGTTTTGGTGCTTAGGCACGAAGAAATCGATGATTAACCGGGGCGAAATTATGCCTGGTATACCTCAAGAAGGACGGAACCGGTCCGCCGGCTTGACCGACTGGTAAACCTATGGATTAGGAAAGGCGGCCGAAGCAACATTTAGCGTGGTTCTACGACTAACCAACAGTTCAAATCAGAACAATTTATTACGCAACCAGCTGATTAGCAGACTTATTCTGAGGTGGCATAGTTTAACACCGCGTTGGGTTGAGTAGCCCTGCAGAAATGCATATTTAATTATTTTACGTATCAGTAGGCCGCATGAATTCGTCACTGGAAAGGCTAGCACGCTTTTAAACGCGTGACCCTCACACTAATTTGTATATTTGAAAATTCTGGGGCATTTCGTATAAGCTCGATAAGTCTGATGCTGTTTTGAGGTGTTTGACTGTTCCCCCAACCAGACGGTACTTTTGAACACAACTCACATAGAATGAAGAGCAGAGCTTGTGTTCAGAGCGGGTTTAACCAGCCATTAATCCGCCTACAACATGTTCAATCTGGTAGTTTTATTGTGTACCCCATCACAGAAAAATCAGACGGATTGTTTAGGAATTTACTCAAAAAAACCGTTAGCCTGAAAAGCAGTGCTCCGGGATTTTCATTCTTATTGCACATTCCTGGCTTCGTTGCGGCCAGTCAAGTTCACCATTTTTTTCTTAGTTAGTTTTAGCAGTCATGGGGGGTGCTGAGCAAATGTTTGTATTCGAAACCTTTTTCACCAACGTACCAACTCTGGTCAATTTTACCAGGGCGGTAAAATCAGATAACTTCGTCGCCATCATCACCACAATCGATAGCCTGTTCCTACTATCTTCAGCTTCCTATGGTTTATGGGTTTATGGCCACATAAAACCTCAGGTGGGGCCAGCAATATACAAGTTGAAAACACCATCTTCCAACATTGATACGGTTTAGCCAATCAGCTGAGTTTTCTTTGAGGAATGACTGTTTCAAGGTTAATCAATTAGGAAAGCTGTGTTAGTCCACAATGCGTACAAATATTGATCGATCACAAGTGCAGTCGAGCCACTCAGATGGTGAACCAATCAGAAATGAACATATCTGAGCTCCCATTGACGCGTGCAAAGAACGACGGACGATGACGCTGACAGTAGTTGAGTTCAGGAACTCCATCCCTATTTGTCGGAAGAGTAGTTTTCAAATTTGGGAAAAAAGAGGTAAATTAAGGTATCAGGGGCTTTTAACTCAAAAAACGCCCGCAAAATGTGACCTAACTGAGATACTGCCACTTTGTGAATGAATGTATCACACGGTGAACATCACACGTTCCATTTGGCTTGACTGTTACGTCATTGTATCTGTGTTGAAAGTTGCTGTTTTACTGTCAGCGGTGATATTTTGACCCAAGTTACGCTTTCCGGGGTATTTTGTCATCAAGCAAGTTCCCACATTGCGGGTGTGCCAACTGCACATAAAAAGAAATGAATTTACGCAAATTTAGTGGAAATCAAAATTGGCTGTGCACAAGCATCAACCCTAGCAAACTCTCTGAAATCACAGAAATTTTGTCTGCGGCTCTTTTAAAACAAATAGTACATAATCTAATTTACACTGTCGAATTACCTTGTTGAAGATACTCGTTGAATCATTATTGTGTTTTGCCATATCCATATTCGTCTACGTTGCAGCACTCAAAGCTCCCATTGAATGCTGCAAAATGATAGAACCTGATTTGAAGAGTGGTTGCCCAAATCAGTTCATCAGGACCAACAGCTACTTCTTCAATGGTTGTGAATCCAATCTGAGGCAATATCTACACGAGCACATACCCGTGATTGTCTACGCATCTCTGTCTGTGTTGCCGCTCGACGTAAGTGTGAAGACACCTGACAATATAGATTTTCCATTGCATGATGTCCCGAAAACGGAGTGCCGAGAACTGTGTTCATTACAAGAGTGAGGACGTTCAAATTCCAGTGGTGGATTTTAATCTATTTTGAAATTGCTCACC